GATGGTTCGATAACTCCTTCGTCATTGATATTTTTAGTTTCTTGCGAAACTGGCTCCTCTGGTGCATCTGACGTACTAGCATTCTCTGCTATATTTTTGAGCAATAATTCTTTATCTTTGATAAACTTATCCTCAAAGAATTCTGCATCTCGAGCTTCAATGATAGAGTTGGTTCCAAGGTCCAAGAACCTGCAAACATTGCTATCTTTAGCGAAACCAAGAAACACATATTTGTTAGCCTTTGGTCTGAGCTTAGGCCTTTTGATATCTGGAATTCGAACATATGCGAGACACCCCCACACTTTGAGATTATCCAAAGAGTCTGGATATCCAATCATAACTGATGAGGAGTACTATCAGTTTTGGAGTAGGGTACTCTGTTTAGAATCTAGTTTGCCATCAGGCCTCTCCCCAATAGCAGGTAAGAAGACCAGATGTGATTAGCATCGAATTCGGTCAATGTGTGATTCTTTTTTTCTGTAATCTCATTAGATTGCGGAGAATACGGAGCAGTAGTTTCAACAATGATTTCATGTTCCTTGAAGTATGCTTTTGACTCCTTAGATCGGTATTCTCCTCCTCTGTCGCTCCTGAGTTTTTTCACCTGCAGTCCAAGCTGCTTCTCCACTCGAGTCCGAAACTCAACAAACTTGTTGAAACCTTCATCTATAGATTTTATAATAGGTAAATGTGGCAGAAGCGAGAATGATCGCCAATGGCAATGAATGTGATGAAGTATTTCTTGCCGCTACGAGTGACGAAGCTCTTGAAGTCACAAGTATCTGAATGAATCAGATCCAACAGGTTGGTGCTCCTCGTGACACTTGAAAATAGCTTCCTCGTCAGCTTTGCTTGCGCGCAAACTTCACACTTCTCAGGTTTGTTACCCCCACATTTTGGAAGTAATCCTAACTTCTCCATGCTAGACATTTTTTTTATAATTTACATGTCCTAACCTATTATGCCATAATACAGTGGAGTAAGCAGAAGAGGATACTTTATTTATAACCAAGTTAGGTGCAATAGTACTGATCTTATACATGCCATCAGTATGATATGCATTGCCAAAATATATTTTCTTGAATGATAATACAGCCTTACCTCCTTGAAAATTCAGCCTCATACCTGCATCACATAGCAGGTTTCTAGAGACTAAGTTTTTGGTAATTGAGGGAACATGTTTCACATCCTTCAATGTGAGAGTCTTCCCTGAAGAGAGGGTCAGCACCACAGTCTCAGTTCTAAGAACAGGAACTGCAGAACGATCAGCCATTAATACGTTCTCTTTGACAGCAACATAAGAAGAGAATAGATCTCTGTTGGAGCAGACATGACAAGTAGCACTTGTATCTAACAACCAACCAGAGATGTTGTTAGGAGTTGTTACCTAAAAGAGCATAGCCACACAATCATCAACTTGATTGATATTGTGTGTAGTTTCTTTCTTTGGTGTTTTGCAGTCCTTGGCAAAATGTCATTGTTTCCCACAATTGAAGCATTTGCCGCACTTCTTGAACTCCTTCTTCTGAACGTTCAGGTTCTTTGGATTCTGGTTCTTCCTTTTGTTAAAGAACTTCTTCTTCTTGTTGAAAGATGAATTATTACCATTTTCAGAGTTAGCAACCACCATGTTAGCAAACGTCTTCTGCTTAGCAAAGAGCTCAGTATTCGTGCAAGTCCGAGTCTCGTCCTCGATTCGAATGAATCTCTTTAAATCAGACAGAGTCACCTGTCTTTTCCTTCTTCGAATATCAGTGGAGAATGACATCCAAGATGGAGGAAGCTTGTTAATAATTGCACCAGAGATGAAAGTTTGACAAAGACTGATCTTTTTATCCTTCAACTTCATAACAAGCTTTTCAAGCTCTTTATCTTGAGGCAAAACCTCACTGTCATCTTCAAACTTCAAGTCCAGAAACTTGTCAATGAGGTGAGATTTGGACATCTTCTCCTCATCCTTGTATTGGTCCTTCAGAGCATTCCAGATTTTCTTTGCAGAATGCTTGTTGGTGTAAGTATCTGCCAAATGATCGGCCAGGCAGTTAAGAAGATAACTCCTGCAGAAGTGATCATCTCTAGCCCAAGAGGCTTCAGATTCAAAATCTTCTTCAGAGTCAGGTTTCTCCTCAGAAACCACATAGTATATTTTCAGGAGTTGCATCCCGAACATTACTTTCCGACGCCATGCATTGAAGTTAGAACCGTCAAAGTTCCCTAACTTAAGACAGTCCACTCCAAGAATCCTCGCAGGATCCATGGTAGATCAAAATAATGCTTTAAGATTGTTGACGCATGTGGTTAAATCTGGAATAATACAGATATAAAGCAGCAAATAACTAAAAGAAAGCCAAAGTACATTAATTTAAAAATTTTCAACTCAGCTGCTGTGGTTTGTAAAACGCTGTGCTTAAATCATTATTTGACCTACTCCGGTGCAAGGATCCCAAGGTCAAATTGCTTTCAGGAACAGCAGTCTAGTACTCTGGTGTGCACCGACTCAGTACTGTCAAGATCTCCTCGATCTATAAGGCAAATATCTCCTCGATCTATAAGACCTTCTCGGTCTAGGCACTGTTCTTACGAGCACTAGCTATTCTATAACATATATATCTGTATATATTGATTGTTGTTTTTTTGAATGAATTTTTTTTAAGGATTTGTGGTCTATTTATAATGTTTGGGAAAATACTATGTACTAATAATATTATTTTACTATGCATGTGGGGCCCACGTCTTAATATTTCTTTTTCTTAAATTGTGTGGGACCCACCTTACTTTTTCATTTTTTTTCCTTCTTTGTGGCTGTGAGCACGCTTATTTATTTATTTTAAGCTTTCAAAGTTAGGCTAACATCATGGGCGGCTAACATTATGTGAGCACGCTTATTTATTTATTTTAAGCTTTCAAAGTTAGGCTAACATCATGGGCGGCTAACATTATGGGGCCCAATCAAAATTAAAAACTATCCTCAAAGTTAGGCTAACATCATGGGCGGCTAACATTATGGGGCCCAATCAAAATTAAAAACTATCCAACATATTACATGATGCTTACCTTCAATATACTTGAAACTTTCTAGGTACATTTTTGTTTAGCATTTTTTTATATTGACTTGTATGTAGGGGTAGCGGAGTTGTGGTGTACAGATGAGGGAGGAGTTCACCAATTTTTTATATGGGACTGAAAGCATATCTGTCAGTAAGTAAGGGAGGAGTTCACCATTCTGAAGACAATAAAAAGAGGGAAGGTGATAGGATTTCGCGGAGGGTGGGTGTTTGTGCTCAGGGAGGAGGGTGAGAGGGGGAAGGTTGGCATTTGTTTGGAACAGAAAAAAAAAGGAGAAAAGAAAAAGAGGCTAAGATCAACAAGAAGTCAACAACAAAGAGAAGAGCTGGCTGAAGAGGAACAACTTCAAAAGTAAATATAATTCAAGAAAATGTATAGCCATCTTGAGCTAAGAGTTATTGAAAGTTCTTGTGTGGGTTACTTTCTCCTATGTGGACGGTTGCCTTCTACAGAATTGTATGACCTCTCTCTTTATCATACAGATGATTGTTCTTCTACAAAATTGTATGACCTCTCTCTTTATCATGGACATTTTGAGATCTTACAGTTTCAATCTTGTTTAGTAACAGTTAACTAGTGATGCTTGGAAGGGGTATGCGAGTTATGTTTGTATGAAGCTAGAGTTAAGTTGATTGGTGATTGTTGGTACATTCTATTTTTCCAACTTCAGATTTTCTGCAAGTTGCTCATAAATTCTTGTGATTGCGTTCATGCATTGTTCTTGTGCGAATCCAAGAAGTGAAATATAGATCTTCCTTAATGTCGTGTAGTGTGCCTAATTCCTCTCCGTTTCTGTATGCTAAACTGAGTGTTGTCATGTTGAGGCGTATTTCAGTTTTTGAAATCAAACTGACCTTTAGCACTTATGATTGAGAAGTGATCATTGGTTTATTTGTAAGAGCTTGAATTCTCTACTTTCTCCCTTGTCATGAGGGGCGTATTTGCTAGCATGCTATAAATATGTATCCCAATTGCCTACTGTGTTTGCATTCGATAGAGAGAAACTGAGGTGACAACATAGGAACGAGGTGTTTTGCACCATAGATGAGAGGGCTAAAATTTCCAAACTAATCCTCCAGTCACCTACGAATGGCATAGATCACCCTCTTTTATGGCGGCGTTCTGATAGAATCTATACTTTGAAATTAGCGTTTCAGAGATTTTGTTGTAATCATTTATTGATTATTAGTGGAATCTTGACCTGGTCATACTCTAGGAACGTAAGTAATCACAATTGATTGCCAAACCTTATTAAATATCTGCGTTTTTATGACTGCTTTCTCCATCTCTATTTTTTTTTCTTTCATCGATAAGTAATTATGTTTTTCGCTGGCCTTGGAACACGAGATCCTTTCTGGGCAAGCAAAGGAGCTGTTTGTTTTGAGTATTTTGCCTCGGGGAGGGGGTGGAAAGCTGCCATTATGGCAGCTTTCTCCCCAAAACGCCTCTTTAATAGGCGTTTTGGGGAGAAAGCTGCCATAATGGCAGCTTTCCACCCCCTCCCCGAGGCAAAAAACTCAAAACAAATAGCCCCAAAGTGTAGACTGAGCATGTGATTGATTACCTTTCTCTTACACTGTCCCAATTGCAGCGGCTTAGTCATCAACTCAAAAGGACCGACGGTCTCTGTCCCAATATTTCAGTGACATAAACGACAGCAACACTATTATTTTTCTATTATGATGATTACAATTTCTCTTTCAACAGCTAATTGGTTAAAATAAGCAAATTAAACATCTACTACTACTAGTGACAGAACCGATGACGTTTCATATGGACAATGCGAATCCTTTGACATAATAAGTTAATTACGTCTTACGGAGCAGATAGCGTATTAGTTTAATCCGACGATTAACTCAAAGATTAGCAGCCGTACTTTATAAACAGACTAAGAATCTTTGAAGTCGCCGCCAGCTCATCGGTCATACCATCGTCTTATAAATCACAAACAGCGTCATCCATCTCTCTATATAACAAACCGATTAATCCTCAAAACTCCTTGCAATCGAAACCGATCCAAACTCAACAAGAGAGGTTCGAAGATGTCCGCCGACGAGCTTTTGCTGCTGGACTTTTGGGCGAGCCCGTTTGCGATGAGGGTGAAGATTGCGCTGGCCGAGAAAGGAGTCGAGTTTAAGTCCCAAGAAGAGAACTTGTTGGGGGGGAAGAGTGAGCTATTGTTGAACTCGAACCCCGTTCACAAAAAAGTACCGGTTTTGCTGCACGATGGCAAGCCGGTTCTTGAGTCGAGCATCATCGTGAGCTACGTTGATGAGAAATGGCCGACTCCTGCGCTGCTTCCGGAGCGTGCTTACGAGAGATCCGTCGCTCGGTTTTGGGCTGATTTTTCCGATAAAAAGGTAATTTTAAGCTGTCTCTAAGATTTATTCAAACTAGACATCTTTTGGGCTTATTAACATTTTCTGCAGTCGTACATACTTTTGGTGTTGGGTTGGAAAAAAAAAAGGTTTATTTATTATCCAAACTAGAATTTGATGGAGATTGATGTGAGGAACAATAGTCATATCACAGATTTATGATGGACTTAATTAACCATGGTTACAAATCTAATTAAACGTTGGCCTATTTGATACTGCAATATGAGATAAAATGTTTCATTTTTTTGTCCCATGGATAAGATTCATTAGATGGTTTCTCAGGTTTTGGGCCTATTATTAGTCTGGCTAGGATTTGATCTTTAGAGGAGATGGTGATCATTTCTATCCTGGTCATTGGTCAAGGGGAGAAAATTAATAAAGCAAGGCAATCCTGGTCTAGTTTTTGCCAAACAGCTTTTAATCTCCTAGTCGGTTGGGGTCCGCTACGAGAGATCAATGTGGATTTGCCAAACGCAGCCTCATTGCCGTGCGATATCTACAAACAGTTGCAAATAAAACAGTGAATTTTTTACTGTCTACGTACTCCTCAGTGTCCACACCTTCTCATCAACATTGACTCCATCAAATTTTTTTTTTTTTGCCCCCCACTTCAATTTGATAGGTATACGAGTCCGGAAACAAGATTTGGAAGACAAAAGGAGAAGAGCAAGAGGCAGCAAAGAAAGACTTCATCCAAGTCATTAAGCATCTAGAGGGAGCTCTTGGAGACAAAGACTACTTCGGCGGAGACACCTTCGGGTTCACCGACATCATCATCATCCCTCTCACTTCCTGGTTCTGCGCCTTCGAGCTCTATGGCAACTTCAAGCTCGAAGACGAGTGCCCCAAATTCAGCGCTTGGATGAAGAGATGCGGGGAGAGGGAGACTGTGGCTAAAGTGCTGCCAGAACCGGCAAAGGTCTGCGAGTTCATTACTATGCTTAGAAAGATGCAAGGGATTGAGTAGGAAAAAAATACTCCTTCACGTTTGCTTCTGTGTTGGGTTATGAGTATCGAGCGTGTGCTTGCTTGCTTGATTTGCTTTTAGTTGCATACTTGCATATTTGAATGAAAGTGTTGTGGGGTCTTTGTTTTCTCTTGGTTGGAGGAAATTGAAGATGGGAATAAAAGTTTGTTCTCTGCTTTGGTAAGTTTGTACTCTTGTTTAGTGCTCGGAATTGTTGTGACTTATAGAGTGAACTAAACAACAAGGGAGGAAAGATGCATTATTCTTATTTAGAAGTTGCTCGTTTCCCGATTCAGTTTGAAAAATGGTTCCGAGGACTTAACTCAGATTGCTGTTAAAGGAGGCGACTTGCATTGTGAAGGGTCACGAAGCCTGTTATGATTTTTGCTCCAAAAGGTTGGGGGTGGGTGTTGTGTGCGGCGCGGAAGCGTTCGAATCACACAATCCAACCAAGAGAGATCACAACCAAATAAACAAGCACAATCACCAACTAACACAAGAGATTTACGTGGTTCGGCGAGATGCCTACGTCCACGGGGCAAGGAGGGGGGAGTTCTTACTATTAGAAATCAGAGAATACAAGTAGAGTTACAAATCTCTCAGACCAAACCCTAAAACAATGCTCTTGATCTCTCACAACTCTCCCACAATTGGATGCAACAACTCTCTCCCAAAGACTGCTCAAATTCGTCCTTGCCTTACCCTAAACAATCAGGTTTAGGGATATATATAACTTACAAAACGAATCGGGTCGAAAACCAAAAGCCCAGCCCAGAAACATCGACAGTCGACTGCGGCGGTCGACCGCACAGGTCTCGCGGTCGACCGCGACGGTCGACCGAACCCCAAAACCCGAGAGAAAATAGATTACAGTCAATCGCGGTCGACCGCGGCGGTCGACCGCCACCAGCTCCGATTCCCAGTAGGCTTTGTGCACGTTGGCGGATGACCGCGTCGGTCGACCGCTGATCTGTCTGGCTTCTACCTGCTGATTCCTTTGCTGATTTCCTGTAATTCTTCAATTCTCCACCTCGGCGAATGTTTCCACCAAAAAAACTAAGCCGACACCAAATCATCCAATCCCTCAACAAGTCAGGGAACCAATCTAGAGCTGAAACGCGATCTCACCCCTCACAACTGATCAAACCGGCTGCATCTGAAAGCCTGCCTACGTATCCTTTTGCCCAAGGAATCAAGCCGAACGTAGTTCACCCAAATGGCCTCCAAAGGCCTCAATCCACTAGAAGAGTTCGCAACTCTTCTCCAACATCACGATCAAGTCTGCGGCTGATAGCACCTCCAATGGTCTCAAACTGAACTAATCCAAACACCTCCACCCGAGATGAACCAATGGCCATATCCAGACTACATCTACCAGCTGCACTCGAATTAGTCAATCTATCATCTGCATCCAAATCAACACGATTCCCAATCTGTGTCACGTCAGCTGGAATCCCAAATGATGCAGTATGATCTGGAATTTCCACCCAACGTGGAGTAGCATCACTCTCCACCCGCTGCGATGTCCCAAAGATCTGATCACCACTCTCCACCTGCTGAGAGTCAAACGTGACATGCCTGCTCAGAACAAAGTCAGAAGCCGATACCTGATAATCAAACACGCCTCTGAATCCCAAATGTGCTATCGGATCAAATCTCACATCCTCGATGTGACTAAGTGCTGGGTAGCCAAACATCCGACGTAACCCAAATCCTGAAGCAGCTCCACCAGATCACATATCTATACATGCAGCAGTCGGCAACCTATACATGAGACGGTCCAAACATGTCGTAGCCTGCACACCAATGCCAATGCTCGACATCAAACGCTGATCCTCCTCCAGAAAGGAACAGCTGCCCAAATCTGCCATCTCGCCTTGTCGCCTCAAAGTTTTCACACCAATGAAGTGTCTCCTATTGCCGTGATCTCGGCACAAATGCAAGAAAGAACCCCTACCAAACTCAGAACGTCGGGTTACCTTTCTACCAACACACTTCCTATATCTGTTGTGGGCTTGTAGGACTTCACACCAACGGGACTTGGTTGTAACCCACCAATGCCTAGAGCAATCCCCAACTGCGGAAACCACATACCTATTACCCACCAATGCCTATATCTGTTGCGCGGTGCGGAAGCGTTCGCATCACACAATCCAACCAAGAGAGATCACAACCAAATAAACAAGCACAATCACCAACTAACACAAGAGATTTACGTGGTTCGGCGAGATGCCTACGTCCACGGGGCAAGGAGGGGGGAGTTCTTACTATTAGAAATCAGAGAATACAAGTAGAGTTACAAATCTCTCAGACCAAACCCTAAAACAATGCTCTTGATCTCTCACAACTCTCCCACAATTGGATGCAACAACTCTCTCCCAAAGACTGCTCAAATTCGTCCTTGCCTTACCCTAAACAATCAGGTTTAGGGATATATATAACTTACAAAACGAATCGGGTCGAAAACCAAAAGCCCAGCCCAGAAACATTGACAGTCGACCACGGTGGTCGACCGCACAGGTCTCGCGGTTTACAGTCATTCGCGGTCGACCGCGTCGGTCGACCGCCACCAGCTCCGATTCCCAGTAGGCTTTGTGCACGTTGGCGGATGACCGCGTCGGTCGACCGCTGATCTGTCTGGCTTCTACCTGCTGATTCCTTTGCTGATTTCCTGTAATTCTTCAATTCTCCACCTCGGCGAATGTTTCCACCAAAAAAACTAAGCCGATACCAAATCATCCAATCCCTCAACAAGTCAGGGGGGAACCAATCTAGAGCTGAAACACGATCTCTCCCCCCACAACTGATCTAACCGTCTGCATCTGAAAGACTACCTATGTATCCTCTAGCCTAATGAATCAAGCCGAACGTAGTTCACCCAAATGGCCTCCAAAGGCCTCAATCCACTAGAAGAGTTCGCAACCCTTCTCCAACATCACGATCAAGTCTGCGGCTGATAGCACCTCCAATGGCCCCAAACTAAACTAATCCAAACACCTCCACCTGAGATGAACCAATGGCCATATCCAGACTACATCTACCAGCTGTACTTGAATCAATTATCCTTTCATCTGCATCCAAAATAATACGATTCCCAATCTGTGTCACATCAGCTGGAATCCCAAATAATGCAGTATGATCTGGAGTTTTCTCCCAATGTGGAGTAGCATCAGTCTCCACCTGCTGTGATGTTCCAAAGATCTGATCACCACTCTCCACCTGCCGAGAGTCAAACGTGACATACCTGCTGCTGCTCAAACAAAGTCAGAAGCGATACCCTGATAATCAACAACGCTTCTGAATCCACAAATGTGCTATCGTCAAATCTCACATCCCGATGTGACTAAGTGCTGGAGCCAAATCCGACGTAACAAAACCCTTGAAGACTCCACAGAATCTCATATCTAAACTCAGCATCGGCAACCTATACATGAGAGGCGTCCAAACTTCGTATCCTGCACACCAATGCAATCTCGACATCAAACGCCCCGATCTCCTCCAGAAAGGAAAGCTGCCAAATCTCCACTCGCTTGTCTCCCGTCAATTTTTACACATCATGTCTCATATTGCTGAGCTCGCACAAATGCAAGAAAGAACCTACCAAATCAGAACGTCGGGCTGAAAAACCATTTCCACCAACACACTTTATATAGGTGCAGCTTGTGGCATTACACACCACTGGACTAAAATAGGTATGATACCCAACATAGACCTAGAGCGCACTCACCATAGAAACCACATACCTATACCCACCGAAAAAATGCCTATAAATCATATATGACGCGCGCGACCCAATCGCATACACACAATCCAACAAAGAAAATCACAACATAAACAAGCACATCACCACTAACCACAGAGATTACGTTATCAACGAGAACTGCATAACTTCCACAAACGGGGAGCAAAGAGGAGGGGAGTTCTTACTATTAAATAATCAGGAATACAATAGTTATAAATCCCAACCAAACCTAAAACATGCTCTTAGAATACATCACAAACTCTCCTCCACATGATGACACAAATCCCCCAAAAAAGAACATAAGCATCAAATAACGTCCTTCAAGTACCCTCAAACATCAGAGTATTAAGGAATATAAGTAAAAGTCATAAACAAATCGGAATCGAAAAACCAAAAGCCAAGCCAAGAAAACATAGAAACGAAACTGCGAGGATCAAACAACATAGAGGTCCGCGGATCAAACAGCAAAGGCTCGAAAACACGAAACCCAAAACCCGAAGAGAAAAAAATAAGAATTACAGTCAATTTCGGGATACAACCGCTGGCGGTCGACCGCACACCAAAACAAAGAACCTCAATTCCAGAAGAGCTAATTGATGCCATGGCATAGGCGCAAACCGCAAATCGGCGAACGCACATATCTGTTCATGGCTCTACCAGATTATGTTATTTGCTGATAATTTAATTCTTCAGTAGGGGTATAAGGTTTGGGGGGATGTAAAAAGTAATTAAAAATTACTAATAAAATTAGCTGCATCTAGGGTAAAAAATAAACAAAAGAAAGCCCATCCCCGAAATTATAAAACACAAGAGTAATAATAGATCTCTTTCATGACATATACTTTCATCAATTTGGGCGACCAAACTGAATACGTTAATCATATTAATAACTCAATTACTAATTTTTTCTTTTTATGAAGAAAAAACGAAAAATAAATAAATGAACAGTAATTAAAAGATCAATAGCAAATATTTACGATTAAACCGCAACAGATCAAGATTCGCATAGCACCATTATATTAATCATAATTATATTGATTTACAACAAGAAGAACATGAAAAAAACAATATAATACAATCCCTAACATTAATAACTTAGTCAGGACATGATCAACCCAAGTCATAAGCCAGTGACGTCCTATCCTGCAACTTGTCAGTTCAGACTAAAGTCAAGATGTTAACAAAGCAACTTCTCTGGACAGTATTGCACTTGGCTCACACCTCTTGCTTGCCAACGAAAACTCATGCTAATATTAGCAACCATACTGAACCATACTATACACATTTGCATGTCATTCACAATTCTTCCCTCAATCTATCATGCAATCACTTTTATACTGCTTAAACAAACAACATAATTACATTGCCAAGTCTGTATAACCTTCATACAAAAAACCTATTGAAAAGTGAGGGGAGTACTAAAGAGTAATTGTGAGAGTTGA